ACATCTTGCGGCAGAAAAGGAGGTTGGATGTTACACAGATTGGGACCCATTGTACAGGTGTTGATTTTAACATGCCACTAATGATCGACATTGTGTTGAGAGTGCTGTCTGAGCACTTAATGTAGCTCCTGTCTGCCCTCAAGACAGCAGTATTCTGCAGAGGAGTTCACAAGTGAAAAGTGAGCAGTACGAAGAGCACATGCACTCACTAAATTTCAGGATTATATTTCCTCTGGTCCTTTTCCAGGTGTTCTCAGTCTGTGACACTGTTGTGCAGGGCAACCTCAAAGTACCTGCAATGTGGCTCATTCTGGGATAGTTTTCTTCAAATCGACTTTTGAAGGATATTAATTGTACAGCTGGAGCTATACAGGAGCTGTCTCCACTTGTACCTTGCAGAGTGTAGTGTGTGTGGAGTTATTTTTAAACCTTTGCAACCTGAATTTGGGAGGTTGGTTAAAATATTTTTAAAGGACCAGCAGTCAGTACTAGACAGAAGAATCTACTAGACAGTAGAAATCTTTGTTTTCTTCTCACACTTTTTGCTCCCTGTTGATGGTTCCTGGCTATGCATTGTCTTGAACTAGCATGGTTCTTATCCAGCCCTTCATAAACGTAGCAGTAGTATGTGAGTGTACTGATGTTATGCTTTTTGCTGAATACCAGTGGATGCATTTTTAATTTTAAATCCAGCTGCACATCAGGGCTTCAATGGTCAGAGGCAGCACTGCACTTTGTGAGGTACCAACTAGCAGATGTACCAAAACCAGGCCCTATCTATTGGTTTTTGTGGACCTCGAAGACCCCAAAATCATCAGGCAGCCCTGGTCAGTGCCCCTCACTCAACCAGAATGAATGAACCTTAATTCACTGGATAATTGTCTCAGTTGCTGTTTGTGGAATCTTGCTTTGCAGAGATTGGTTGTGTCATTTGTCTTCACAACAACAATCGCAACATTTCAAAGGAATTTGTTTGCAGTAAACACTTTGAGGTGACCTCAAATGTGATTACGTTACTATACAATGGGAAGTCAATAATTGTTTGCTTCAGAAAGCCAGATTGCTCAGTCCCCACGATATCTCTTTTTATGGAAATAAATGGACATCTTTATTTAATAACCAAAAACTTGAGAGGTTGCAATTCAGATGAATTTAACAACAATGTTAGAAGCCAGGCAGGTAGATGGAATTGAGATAAGAATTAGCTATTACATAGTTGGATAATGGAGCACACTTGAGAGTTAAATGATCTTTGGGAGAATTCTTTGACTCTTGGGCCAAACGATTCAGTCCTCGCTTTTCATTGGTGACCTTCACCTCTTCACCTCTCCACCTCACTTGCAGCATCAATCCTTCCTCCACAGTTTCATTTGACTGAAAATGTTCCATCTGACTCTTTCTTCCATTCTCAGTGTGCAGTGATGTTTGACCTCTGTCCAGTGAGCAATTTTGTCAGTTATCTCACTTTCTTGCCAATGTCAAAGTCATCATTTATAGTAACAAAATTCATAATTGTTTCCATTGTGCCAACTCAGCCTTTAACTGACTGGGGATAAGAATATTTGAGGACCAAGATTGCAAATCAGAAACAAAGGTCACAGTTTACTGACAGCAGTAACCTCCATGCTGCTGTATGCTCCGAGGCTTGATCATCCTATTGCAGATACCTTTAAAACACAGGAGAAGTACCAACACCAGTGCCTGCGATAGATCCTTCAAATCCGGTGGAAAGAGAGGCAATTCAACAGCGTTGTCCTTTCTCAAACCAACCTGCCAGGTGTTAATTATCCAAAACCAGCTCCATTGGAAGGGACGTTTTTTTTGTGTACTTAATATCGGACTTTCAGAGTAACTATTCAGAATTCAGACATGCGTGTGACTCCTAGGACAGCAGAAGAAATGCTTTAGGGATGTCTTGAAAGCAAACCTGATGAAGTCAAGCATCTCTGTAAAAGTCCAACAACCCCACTGACTGATGGGAAACTCTGATCTATGACTGACCAGAATAAAGAAGATGTACTCAGGAAGGCAGTGAACATGTTGAGAGACTTCAGTGGTAACATGCAGAGGTGAAGTCGCAACAATGGAGAGAGCACACTGACCTCCAAACGTCCCTTCCACCTGACCCTTTGAGTGCCACCTACTATGATGTGGTGGAGTCTGAAGATCACTCAGTGGGCCTATCAGCCATCTGAGAGCCCAGCAAACTAAATTGGAAGCAAGTCATCCTCAATCCTTGGGGGCTGTCTAAGAAAATCCTTAAATTGATCAGGTGATTTCTTCCATAAAGGCAAGCACTGTTTCTCTTTCTGAGAATCATCGTAATATGACATTTCATCAGGGTAATAGCTCACCTTTTATTGGAAGTCCGTAACTGATTGCAGCTGATCTTTGGTCTAAGATTTTTTTGCCTATGTTAGTCCTGATCTGAGAGGGAGGCTGCCATTTGGATCATGGTTATCTTTTTGAGGAGCTGACCATGGTTTGATGGAATATTGTCAATTATGGTCAATCTCCTGTCAAGTCAATCATTTCCCAGTCTTTATTAACAGTCTTTAATAGTCTTTATTAATCCTGGCATTACATTCAGTGCCTGCTGTATACAAATAATTGTGTTAACTGAGATAACTGAATCCCAGTGGTAACGTTTTTGTTTCAAGATGATTGCTGGCTGAGAATCAATTCCTGTAGATCAGTGATATTGCAGCCTGCCCTGAGCCCTGATAGCCAAAGAATCCTGGAGTGTTGAGTCTGCAACCTAAGTGTTCATTGGAGGAAAACAGCAAAATTCATCACCACCACATTATATTCTGAGTAGTCACTATTGGTCCTATTGTCACAGATACACGATGTGCTGCAGTCTCTACTCTCAAGCAGCCTTACATTTTTATAGGAAACTTGTGCGTTTTTCATTCCATGGATTAGATCTAGTGATAAAGTTTTACTAAAACGTGCACCAGACTTTTTTCAAATACTTGAGTGTATGTTTCTTTAATGCTATGTGCATCAGGTTCAACTGTAAACTAATTCGAAACATCATCTGTGAAAGTTATTCATTACTGTTATCACTGAATTGTCTTCAGGGAATGATGTACTGTGGTAGTACACTTAAACTCTTTATGATACTAAAGGGCCTCTGTATAATGGGTAGGGGAAGTAGTGTTGTGGACTTTGTCTAGGAAACAAGACAGTAGGTCTTACTAGTTTTTAAATGTTATCTCCATGCCTAGGAATATCAGGGTCCTGGTCTCTCTAACTTAGTTCCTTCTTCTTTAGCACTGCATTTCTGCTTCCTATCCCAAAACTGTTAGTCCTTGCTGGAATCCAGTTCCACAGTCACGGATGACAGTGAACTGGTTGGCTAGTTTTTGTTTTAATCACTGTAATCAGACATGACATCCTGGGGCAGGTGGGACTTGAATCTGGGCTTTCTGATTCAGAAGCAGGGACACTATCACTTAAGCACAAGACAACAGCAGAGATCAATGGCTAACAATCAGGAGCTGGAATTTGCCCATGCCAGGTTAATTATAGAGATTTTGTCTTTTTTTAATATCTGCTTTTATGATGTGGGTTTGTGTTTGTAATGAGTTGCTGTAAATTAGTGTGTAAAAATTAGGCTCAGTTTTTATTCTTTAGTATCTGGTTGTCTGTAGTATAACAGCCTGGACCCAAATTACAAGATCTGTTGAATTCACATTCATAATTTGTTGTGGAATGGTTTGTTCTCTGTGCCTTTGGTTTGCTAATCCAGTGCTGTCATCACTAGGTTATCGAACTTAAGCATCTGATAGTCGGCAGGAACAGTACAGTTCCTGATACGATTCCTTGCACATGAGGTATTCAATACTTAAACCAGTGAAACCACTGGGCAAGCAGTTTGGTTTATTGCAACATAGGAAATATATGATCGGAGATCATCAGCCTCTCGGACTCGCCCTGTCATTCTTGATCACGGCTGATCAACTATCTCAACATCACCTTTCCATACTAACCTTATATTCCTTGATGTCATTAGTAATTAGAAATTTAGCAGTCTCTGCCTTGAACTTAGGTGATTGAGCTTTCACAGTCCTTGAGGTAAAGAATTCCAATGATTTACCTCCTTGCGAGTGAAGAAATTCCTGCTCAGCCCTTACCTATTTTAGGGTGAGAATATAAGGGAGATTGTGTTCTGGAAGTAAAATTTGAACCTTGAACTCAGCAGCAGTGAACCAATCTGCATTTGACAGAACAATCAACATCCAAGAGGACTGAAGGGTGCCAACCCCTTTAGGCCTGTTGTGCTTCATTGATGGCCTAGATCACCTCCAGCTAAGGTTCATGGTTTATATTGCATCAAAACAAACCTACATTGGAAGGATAGGGAACGTGAGACAGTATTTACTCGAAACACTTGCATGCTTGCTGTGTTCATATTTTGGCAAAGGTTTGAATAGAGGTGCGTCAGGAGATCCCTGGGGCATTCAGCTAATGATATCATCTGCTGGCAGTGAAGGTTACTCGAAAGGCATCCGAAAGGTTCTGCTAGTCTGCTTCCTGATTTGCTTTCCTTTTGTGTAATTCCTATCTGCTGTTCAGGATCAGTAGTACAATACTCGTTTATACTTGTTACAAGAGATAACCACAAAGAATAGTAAGGAGCAACTAACGCAAGCCTGTGTACTCTAGAAGGGCTATAAACTCGAGTCTGGGACATATTCAGCCACTTGTGGTATTATGGCTAGTAACAGCCGTGATGACACCATTCTTCATTTGATGTAGTTATTTCCAACATCAGCTTTTAGTCAGGTTGAGCGCTGTCTTCAGTGATCAAGGCATTGACTCAGCATGGGGAATTATTGTATTGTACTGTTGATGAGTCTTTGCTGCTCTCGGAGCCCTTGGATTGTATTCACTGTTGTCATTTCTTTTAGGGAACAGCACTGGGTTTACTGCGTTCAGAATGAAATTGGGGAATGAAGCTTTTTTCTGAGTAACATTTCTGTGTTTTATTCCTCAGTGAGCGGCACGCTCTCAGCGGTGCTGAAAACAACCACCATACTCGATGACATTCCAGCGCAATGTCAGATCGTTTGGGGCAAACTACCAGGGGGAAGGATGGAAAATCGAAGTACTCCTCTCTCAGTCTGTTCGATAAATACAAAGGAAAGTCACTAGAAACCCAAAAACATTCAGGAGGTATGTAACAAGGAGACTCAACCAGGTCCAGGGTTTACTGGGATTTGTGTTTCCATTTGGTGTTAAGCATCTCTGCCTGTTTTTGATTCCTGATGGCAACAAGCTATACTAGGTTCTGTGGTGGCACTCACTAACCCTATGTCCACTATCCAAAGCATTGCTGCTGAGACCTAACCTGTCTTCAGTTACAGTGTTGGCATGTATATTCTGTCCACCACATGCTCTGTCTCCCTACTCAGTCTTGATCACTGTTTTTCTCTCTCTCTCTCTCACCCTCACACACTCCATTCGCCCCATTGAGTTCTCGAGTTTCTTTGTGTTTCCCTTGTATATACTGTACATTTTTGATGATCTTACAGTGCATTCAAATTCCAAACACTGCACTGTAGCCCAGGAATTCCAGGGCTGCTGAAATATTCGAACTATTTTTTAACTGAAGTTTCTGCACCACAGTTGAATCTAGCATTTAAACATAAAGCTTTGCTAATTTTATGTCTGTTCTTGCGGGTGATTATTTTTACATCTGTGGCTGGAGCTGCAATAAGTTAAGCTAAGATCTTGTAATATTATAAGAGTTCTGTGGAGTGTGGTATACAACTGTACTTGCAACTACAGTGTCACTACGAAGGAGATATGCTTTGTGCTAATGCTACATTTTTGCAGTCGCTGCCTGGATCATTCTTCATTGTGTAGCTAGGAACTTTTTTTGGTGTCTTTCTGGTATTAAGTGCAGGTAGTTGCACAGCTGTCCTGTTGTTCCCTGGTGACTCTTGAACTTTTTAAAATCTGTGTTGCAGTTGTCCCTCGACATGGCTTGCAGAGTCTTGGCAAAGTGGCTGCTGCCCGGCGCATGCCCCCACCTGCCAACCTTCCCAGCCTAAAGGCTGAAAACAAAGGAAACGACCCGAATGTGACCATTGTACCAAAAGACGGAACAGGATGGGCAAGCAAACAGGAGCAGCAGGACCAAAAGAAGTAAGATTGTCTTGTTGCTGATTTGGTTTTGAGCTTTTTTTTTTAAAAAAATCTCTATTGGAGGTCAAAATTGTATCAGAGATAGTAGGAACTGCAGATGCTGGAAAATCTGAGATAACAAGGTGCAGAGCTGGATGAACACAGCAGGCCAAGCAGCATCATAGGAGCAGGAAGGCTGACATTTCGGGCCTAGACCCTTCATCAGAAAATATAGCACTTGGAGCAAATGGGATCAAAAGTTATGGGGAGAAAGCAGGATTAGGCTATTGAGTTGGATGATCAGCCATGATCATGAAGAATGGTAGAGCAGCCTCAAAAGGCTGAAAGTCCTCTTCCTGCTCCCATTTTCTATCTTTCTATGACATCCAACTCAATAGCCTAATCCTGCTTTCTCCCCATAACTTTTGATCCCATTTGCTCCAAGTGCTATATTCCCTGATGAAGGGTCTAGGCCCGAAACGTCAGCCTTCCTGCTCCTATGATGTTGCTTGGCCTGCTGTGTTCATCCAGCTCTACATCTTGTTATCTCTATTGGAGGTCTGTTTTGTACTTAATCTCCTTGGCAGTGATAGAAATCCTTTTTCTAAATATTAGTCATGGTGGGTGCTCAGCTAACATGAAGTGACCCCTGGGCTGGATTCCTGTTTAAACTGCCCAATGGTAGGGATGGGACAGCATAACAGTGCTAGAAATGCAAGTCCCTTTTAAGGGTTGTTATAAAGCAGCTATAGTGTTGATTGAGAGCCAGTCGATGCTCTTTGCTCTCTGTGTTTAAGAACTAAATTCTTCTGCAACGGGGAGTTGGTTTTTGTACAGGCAACGGGTCCAATAGGGAAAGGCGGAAACTGTTGCATCTGCTGAACTATAGATTTACAGCAAAATCCTTGCAAATCTCTGGAAGTTTTTTACTGCGTAATTTGGCATGTGGGAATTGGTCTGTTTGACAGGCACTATCAGTATGCCATAACAGTCTCTGCCATTGTAGTGAGTAGCATTTTTCTCCCTACTTTAATAAGGAACTCAAATGGTAATGGTAGCTTAGATTACTTCTATGACGCTAATATTAAATGACCTAGGGAAGGAGGACTAAGTAATCCCAGCACCCCAACACACACACACGCACATGCACGTGCGCACACACCCACCCTGCCACCAGCAGGGCAGGAGAGGATGGTGTACCTCCGGGTTAACAGCAGCATAGCCCCTTATATATTGGATGGGGCAGACCTAGTCCTGACCAATTTTATTTCAGTCTCCTTACCTGCTGAAATACTGATTTCTCCTTCAGAATAGTTCCTTAAGATCCTCTGGGAGTTCCTTTGCCGCTGCAGCATATTTTTTTCATTTCCCTGTCCAGTAGCTGCTGAGGCCATCTGCTGTACACCATTTGACATTACTTGTTCCTAGACCTTTAATTATAGCCATGGTACTCATATCAGCAACCACATTACTGTGGCTGTATGTTAGAGATCAGGTTATTGGGACTTATGCTCAATGAACCTGTATGTTGAATGGGCTTTAGACCATGAGGTCCTAATAGGCTCTTGTGTCTTGGATATAGGATTGTAAATAATATCTGGAAAGTGAATATGCAAGGTGATTGTTGGGTGAGACTGGATGTGAATTGAGATATAGGCAGCAGAGTTTTACATGAGCTGAAATTTGTGGATGGTGGAAGGTGGGAGGCTGACCATGTGGGGATTGCCATAGTCAAATCTGTCAGTATCTTAAAACAAGATGAGTATAAAGTAAACTATTGACAGTTCTTTTAAATTGAGCTACAACTAATTATTTTTTCTGCAAATCTCATCTTGTCAGTGGTTTGGTTAAGTCTTTGATTTGCCAACTTTCAAACCTGACCTTTTCCTATGTTCTGTACAACTCAGATTTTGGGAGAAGGGTACTGTTCGCTTTTGTTGTGTTGACTTTCAAAACTTCCAACAAGAGCCTGATCTGGTGGTTTTGCTGACCATGTGACATTGTGTTTTGCAGTACGGCTGTGTCAGTAGTACAGCAGCCGGAGTTGCCATCACAGCCGGCTTCACAGACATCTGCCTGCAGTGTGCCAAAGCCGGCACCAGTCCACGAGGTAAGATACAAGCATTTGTCAAGTCTTTCATCAGCGAGGGCAAGAGGGATCATTGTGGTGTGTGAAATGGCAACATTTGGCTGATCAAAATTGGTCTTTCCTGTCTCATTTCAGCGCAGAGTTGTAGATTAATATGAGTTAAAGTGTCTGTTTAAATCTGTTGGATGAAAAATTGATGTAAGGGATATTATGTGAGCAAGTTGCTTCCAAACACAACAAATAACAGCAATAAAAGAAATGTTACATTCAGCATTACAGTACAATTTCATTGGATTAACATGTAGAATCACATCAATAGTGGTGCATGTTAGTGATTCAGCGTCAAGAATGGAAGTAGATGGGTGTTTGGAGCAGTTGTTGCCTGGAATGTAACGGACTTTCTTCCTCTGAAAATTGACAGAACACAAATTCTGCACAAGGTGGAGCAAAGTCATGGGCACAATTGAAGGCAAAGCCAGTAGGACCAGGAGGTGAGTTAATTGTTTTCCAGCATATTTTGGTTACCTAGCCACTCTATGTTCAATTTTACGAACGTGCTGAAAATAGTGTGTGTTGCTGTATTAATGAATTGTGTGCTTTGGTGATCATACACTGTATTAATTTTACTCTACGTGCAAGGCTCAGTATTTTGAACACACAGACATTTCCAACTCCACCCATTTCCCTATGCAAACCCTTGCAATGGATTTATAGCAGACAATTCACAGTCACATTCGCAGTAAGGTTATGAGGCTCAAGGGGAAGCATGCTTCTTCCTCTTGACCCAAAAACTGTGCTGTAAACTAACTTACCTTTTCCTCTACACCAGGAAGACCATTCTACCCACTGTTAAACCTATAGAGCATGTTCAATATTAGACTTCTATTGCCGTTCTGCTTCCTGGCAGGCTGTTTGTTGTTTACCCTGACTTGCTTCTGTCAAATCCAAAAATGAGCTGGTTGGCATCTGGTGTAGATTTTCAAAATAATTAAGTCATCTGACATGTTTTGGTGCTTGATATTGCTTCCCAGGTCTTTTGTCCATCACCCCATCTTCACTGATTTAACTTTCTCTTGCTCCCCAGGGAGTTTAGGTTATAAATGTTGTTCTCTAAAAGCCTTAGGTTTAATCCTACCCACCTCTGCTGCTTCCTTCATTCTAATATTCAAATTCTTGTCCTCTGGACTCCTTATTCTCCCATCCTTCCCATTGATAGCAGTAAAAGCATATACCGGCTGTGTGAAGTCTTCTTGTGTTTGATTGTTAGTGACTTTTTTGTTATTATTTGTCTCAGGCGGAAGAGGATTAAACAAGCAGTTACCATTCTCTCAAGAGGAATTTCCAACATTAAAAGCAGCTGGAGACCAGGAAAAGGCTGGAAAAGAAAAGGACACCACAGATCAGTCATATGGGCCAGGACCAAGCCTCCGCCCACAGAGTAAGGCTCACAGTTATGTGCAGGATCTAGCATTCTGCTGGTGTAGACGTTTTTTGGAGTATTTATGGTCTGTCTGGAAAGTTTGTGCAAGTGCTGAGCGATAGCAGAGAGAATTTCACATCTGATGCCAAAGGATGAAAGAGAAATACTTTCAGTTTCTAAAATACAAGTTTTTACATGATGACACAGCGGTTTTGTTTACTAAAATCCTCATAGTGAGCCCTGAACTTCAGAAACTTGCCAATTGGGACAGGATACCATTTTTGAAACTAATATTTTCAAAGCTCTAAAACAGTCGGCAGTATGTCTAAAAGAATCTGAAACCTGATAATCACCCAGCTCAAAAAAGGCTCTGAATCTTACACTAAATCCTTCCTTGGATTGAAACAGTTTTGCATATGTCCAAACAAGTAGCCCAATTGTTTTCTCCTTGAAGTGATAGTGATTATTGTTATACAGATCTTGTTCTTTGCAGAACAAATAAATTCAACCTCAAGAATTGGAAACTAATTTAAATAACTCTGCATGAAAAGTAACTCTTGCTAAAAACTTCTTATCTGCTAACCTTGTGAGAGTAGGAAACTGATTCCTTTTGGTGTAGGTGTGCAAAAGACATCTCTATGAATGAGATTTGTTTGCTCATGGCATGTGATTTAGTCCTTGAATCAGAACTGGTTGTGGAATTTAGAGATAGCGTACCTATAATTAGACATTTTAACTTGTTTTGTGAAGGAAATCTGATCACATTGAGATCAATATTTCTCACAAATGCAGTAAAGTATCCTATCAGAACTGCCTCCTTTGTGGAATGCCGGTTAAGAGGTGATGTAACTTGTAGATATTTTTAATCAACCTGTTCAGAGGTTTTACTGCGCATTTCTGGAGCAGGTGGGACTTGATCCTGGGCTTTCTGGCTCAGAGACAGGGACACTACTAATGTGCCACAAAACCCCTTAAAAAGATGGAAGATTGCAACTAATCAGTAGCTGTTTTAAAGCATCCATGTAGGCTGGCTGGGTAGATTCATCTAATCTACTGTAAATAGTTTTCTAATCTACCTGTTGCGAGATGTTATTGCACACTTTGGGAGCAGCTGGAACTTGAACCTGGGCCTCTTGAATCAGAAATAAGGGTGCTGCCACTGTGCCACCAGAGACCCCATGATGAAATTTGTAGGTATTTTCTAATTAACCTGTTCAGAAATGTTAGTACACCCCTCTGAAGTGGGACCTTATACAAGTCTTCTGGCCCAGAGGTGGGAACGCTGCCACTTCACCACAACAGTCCTCAATGAGGGTGAGTTGCTATGAAGTTAACAGCAAAGTAGTTTATATGGACCTGCAAGTTTTGGAGTTTTATGGTTCAGATATTTTCTAATCAACCAGTTCAGAGTTGTCATGACACCTCTGGAGCAGATGGACTTAAGCCCAGGCCTTCTAGCCCAGAGGTAGGGACACTACCTCTCTGCCGCAGGCACTCAATGATAAACATCTTTGTTAGATAAGGTCTGGTTTCAATTAGCTGGTTCATTAGGTTTGTATTTGGATCTTAAAACTGTAATTACTGGAATATGTCTGGTGGCACCTTGTTTGGAGACTCAACACTTGATCTAAACACACCTGAGTACCAGTCTAGAATCGAGCAGTTGTATTTTGCTTGCAGATGTAGCCATTTGGAGGGAGGGCGGTGGGCGAAACCTGAACCCCACGACAGCACCGACTCTACCGCCTCCGCCACCGCCGGAGGTGGAAGCTAAAAGCTCAGACCAAGAAGATCCGGTGCACACGCCAGTGTCGTCAAGTGACTCAAAGGAGCCTTCACTGCGCCCTGCTACTCCGCTGAGGAGGGGACTGGGAATACCACTGCAGGCTGGGACTCATCAGTTCCCCTCCACCTACCGTGATATGTTGCCTACATTTGTAAGTTAATTGCAGAACCAGTAAATTGTTGTGATATTGCCCATGGCATTCAGTTCTTATGTTTATAAATAAGGCTACAATGAAATTGAGAGAGAAATTTTAGAAACTTGCTCCACATTGCCACTTCACAACAAAGTCCTGCAGCTAAATCATGAGAGTTAGCATACCGACGTTGAATGGGAAGTGTTGACATAGTAGTAACCAACCTCAGGTCAAGTGTTATCTATAACATCGTTTACCTTTGATATAAATAAGGCTGGGTGTTCTCTTTGCTTTCAAAAATAGAAAGCTGTACCAGCCACATTAGGGATGGAGAAAGATCATGTAGTCAATAAAGCATCTGTGACACTAAATATAAAGTAGTAGTGGCCCTGTGATTTTTCCCACTTAATTTTGTTCATGGTAAAAAAACTAGATTCAAGAATGAGGGAGAGCATATTATGGATAGTTTAATGTTAAAGCCACTCCCTTAAGTGCAAGCAAATATTATAATGGACATTCCTATCCGATAGGAAAAGGATTGTGATTAGAAATAACAAAACATTAGTTGCTATCTTTTCTGACCTTCCTACAAATTCTGTAAAATTTTACATGAGGTGCGGTGCAATGTGGAATTTTGAAGGCTTCATTTAAGTTGCACTGTTTACCAGATGAATTATTCATCTATAGTCATCTGTCAGCGCGGTGATTAGCTGACATCTCCTCTACTTTCCCAGAGCCCCTCTAAATTGTATCAATCCTGACCATATTACCTTGAAAGTTGCAGTGTGTAGATCAACAATGGAATGAGAACTGTGGCTTGAAATCAAAGAGATAGGAGGAAATAAAATTGTGCTGGTACCCAGATTCTGAGACGACATAAGGAAGGTTCCCATGTGTCAAATGATCAAGTCTGATACACTGACATACTCTTGGTTGCATGTGTGGCCTTCCCTTCAATGCTGAATAAGTAGATATGGCTCTTTATGCTGTTAACTGCAGTTAACAGAAAATCAGAACCTGATAAAATACCCTAATAAAACAGTGAGGGAAGTGTACAATGCAGTTTACGTTACTTGAACAGCGTGAGTTCGCATGATTACAGTTGTTGATGTGTGGTGAGCAGTATTTTAATTTGAGATACAGAACTGCTTTATTCATGTTATCAGGATTCCAGCAAAGTAAAATAAACTTGTGGATGTTTTTAGAGTATGCCAGTAGAATTTTGCAGCGATTATAGCTCTGTCCTTCCAAATTGGCATCATCTCCGGACAGAGCATTTTGAGTCAGTAATCGCATGGCTGCAGGTCTTGTCGGGTGGAAGCAATGTAGAAAGGCTGATGATAGCTGGCTGTGAAACAACATAGTATTAGAGTGTGTTAGTGCTAACTTGTTTAAAAAAAACAAGTGAGGACAAGTTGTTTGTGTTTCTCTAGCTTGTGCTTTGTGATGTCAGAGACAGTAACAGTTGTTTTTGAGTAAATGTTTTTGAGCTGATGCTGATTAGCATTTTATTCCAAAATTGAAATATATTGTAGTTGCTCAATAATCTGCAGGGCCACAAACACGCTTGAGGGACGATTTAGATAAACAGAAATTTCGCTTTGTCAACCTGTTCTTCACCCACCCCTTCTCCAGATTTCAGCCTCTTTTGTCTTGAAACTGTTCGTCCTGCCCGGTCAATGGGTTTCCAATTATATAATGCACAGCAGTTTTGTTTTGAGAGGTATATCTGTGCTGATCTTTTCCCTCTATCAGTGTGAATGGCTGTTCTCTTGGCCGTCAAAAGTAGAAAAATGTAGCAGCCACAAAAGCTTAATACATTCAGCAGGAATGGGGAAAGATCATTTAGTCAATACAGTGTCCGTGACACTAAACATAGAGCAACAGTGGCCCAGTAATTTTTCCCACTTAACTTTGTACATGGCAAATAAATTACATTCAGAAAATGAAGAAAATCTTGTTAATGCCGCCACCTTAAGTGCCAGCAAATGTAATAGTTAACATTCCTATCTGATACAGAAAGGATTGTAATTAGAAACAACATGAATCTTAAACATGTTGCACTCCTATTTATTCCCTCTGTTCTCTTCATAATCTTGAAGGTATGCTTAGGACATTTACCAAGCTGAAATTTTATTAAAGCTCCCTCCACCTTCACAGTGGTGGTGGGAGGAATTGTTAATTGTCACTGGGTGAGAGGAGGAATTGTACATTCTTGGGTATGGGAGTCATGGTGGAGCAAGCGATATTGTTCACATATGGGAGTGAGGCAGTATCATTCACTTGGAGCATGAAGGTGCTGTTGTTTGCTCTCACTGGGTGTAGGGGCTGTTCAATCTCGGTAGGTGAAGGGTTATTATTCACCCTCGATGGGTGAAAGGTGTGGATATTGTGCATTTGATTATGTATTTATTGTTCACAAGGTCTGATTTCACCAGTTAATCACCTCAGGGTCAATGTCTGGAATGGATTTTCTTTTCCCTGCAGATGTGCTCACCACAATCACGGAGTCCTCAGCCAACTCCAGTCCTTGGTCCACAAGGATCCTTACAGTATCCGTTCCAGCCACATGAGCCAATTAGGTAAGGAGTATGTTTACAATCAGTGCACATATTAATTATGGGGGTTGGTTAGCTCAGTTGGCTGGGCTACTGGTTTGCAATGCTGTATGATCCCAACTGTGTGTTCTCTCACTGGCTGAGGTTACCATGAAAGACTCTCCTACTCAGCCTCTCCCCTCACCTGAGGTGTGGTGACCCTAATGAGACAGCAGTCCTGTGGGCCTCTGGGACTATGGTGATTTTACTTTTTGTATTTATTATAGATAGAATCTACATGTTCGTCAGACAATTCACAGCCATATCTGATTTGGGTTATTTGGTAATTTATTTTAACCATGATTGGTGAATATAAATGTATTGAGAGATTAATCTTGCACATTGGTGACTTACACAGCATTCTGACTGGAACCTAAATCCCGTGGTACAAGCAGGGTGCTTGTTTCGGTCCATGCGTGAAACTGACAGTGCAAGGTGTAGGGCAGAGGTTGTGTTGTCACCTGACTTAAACTGCATACGCACTTCACATTGCCTTACCAAAGGCTGTTCCCCATACTGTTCACTTTGATCTTAAGTTGTTAATGCTTCATCCTGGCGTTATTAGTGCTTCATTCATTGATTCCCAATGTGGGTATTCACAGGTATCCCCGGGGTGTGACTCGCCCTAGCCGCCCAGCGAGGCCCACTCGGCGACCAGGTGAGCTGACAGATCGACCTGCCATTGTCAATCCTGATGATCTCAAAGAGCTGGATCAGCTGGACATTGAGACAGAAGATGGATGGGCAGGTGAGAGGGGAACTTGTCATGCAGACTCCTTGAACTTTAACCAAGCACTGATGATGTGCACTTGTGTTTGTGGTACTTAATTTACAGGAAATAATTGATTTTGTGCTTGACTTGATTTGCAGTGTATTTCTACTTAACATTCTTATATGGATTGAGAGTGGTAAGCACCACAGTGCATGCACCAGTGTCTGAAAATCTGTAGAGGTGTACAATAGAGAGTTGGATGGCTGCATATAGAATTAAAGCTGTCTATTCTGTTTAATTTGCATATGTCTGAAGTAGCTGTTTCCCTTCTGCATTCGTTTGTGGGATGTAACCATTGCTGAAAAAGCCAACATTTATTGCCCATCTAAATTGGCCTTTAATTGTGCAGCGTACCAGTCCAAATCAGAGGGCACTTAGGAGTTGGCCATATTGCTTTGGGTCTGGATTTACAGGTAGATTAGACCCAGTAAGAGTGGCCAATTTTTATTCGTTCATGAAATACGGCCTTCACTGTTTCGGCCAGCATTTAATGCCCATTCCCAGTTGCCTTGAAAAGATGGTTCCTTTGGAACTACAGCAGTCCTTATGGAGTGGATACACCAACAACCCTGTTAGGGAGAGAGTTCCAGAATTTTGATCCAGAAAAACTGCAAGAATGGTGATCTGTTTCCATGTCAGGGTAGTGTGTTGCTTGGACAGGAGCCTATAGGTGGTGGTATTCCCATATATCTGCTGTCCTTATTCTCCAGATGGTAGTGATTTGGAATGTACTGTTTATGCATCCTTGAGCAGATGCAGTGCATCTTGTATATAGTACACACTGCTGCTATTGTTTTGGTGATGGTGGAGTGAATGTTTGTGAATGTAGTGCCAATCAAGCAGGCTGCTTTGTCTTGGATAATGTCATACTACCTGAGTGCTGTTGGAGCTGAACTCATTCAGGCAAATGGGGGATATTCCGTTACACTCGGACTTGTGCCATGTAGCCGGTGGACAGACTGTGGGGAGTCAGGAGCTGTGTTACTTGCTGCAGGATTCTTAGTCTGTGAGCTGCTCTTGTAGCCACTGTATTTATGTGGTGAGACCTGTTGAATTTTTGGTCAGTGGTAACCCCACGATGTTGATAGTGGGGAATTCAACGATAGATGTATGCTCTACCAGCGCACTTTGTGCTTATGATCTTATTGCATCTGTGGTGCAATAATTCTGACAAGTTTTAGAAAGCACTTGTATTTTGTTGTGATGTTTTGAGAATGGTTAAATTGGAGCAGTCCGGTCTGCGTTCCTAGTCCTGTCTTGAATCGCTTGTTTGTTCTTTTACTCAGGTGAACATGAGGAAGTGGATTACTCAGAAAAGCTGAAATTCAGCGATGACGAAGATGAAGAAATGTCAAGAGAGCGAAAAGAGAAATGGTTTGTATTTAGTTTACAGTTGCAGATGGAAACCTTGAGATTTTTAAAAATTTCACAAACTATTGAATAACACGCTCTTAAGTTTTTTTTTCGTACGTAGACTTGCTTTCTGTAGCATCTGTCATGACCGTACAACATTCCAAAGCACTTTACAGTCAGTGAAATACAGCTTTGTCTCAATTCCCATTAAAATGTTGACTGCTGAACATCCTTGATAATAGATGATGTAAATGGCTCCCCCTTGAATATATGTACTGCCTCTTGAATTTGCAAGCAATATCACCCCCCAAATAAAACCATTACAAATTACAGTTCCATGTCCACGTTCCTCTCTTGCTGAGCATACTGTTGTGTCTTAGATCCTTGCCCATCATGACCACAACTCCTCATTTGTATTCCTCCATTTGGCTATTCACTCTCCCACATTGTTGAAATAGCCCACAAAAAAGTCGCCAGTGACACTGTCCTACAGTCTCCACATCTGGTATTTTTTGATTACACTGTTACAAACAAGGACCAGTTATTTAGTTGTGTGTGTTAGTCCATCCTTTATGCTGAGTAAAGCAGAATAAGTTCCAACTGGAAGTTGTTACGTTTGAGCCCTCTGTTTCATTTGCAGTGTGTATGGGTGTGAAATAATAGTCTAACACCCAAAACCTTTTTCCGTTCTAGGGAAAGGGACATGAAAATAGCGCGCCATCGGTCTTTAAATGCTAAGCGCGAAGCAAAGTTGGAGCCTTCCATGTGCACTGACTCAATTTGGAATAATCCATTATCCTCCAGCCAGTCAAACCATGGCCTGCAGGATCCTGAGCCACGGTGGAACCTATCTACTGCTGAGACAAGGGTATTTTCAGTTCACTTCACAGAGTTGTATTTGTTCAACTTAACTGAAATCATGTAGTTAAAATTACCTGTTGAGTGAATACTTCAGAGTACAGTGATCACCTTTATAAGTAAATCCTACTGCATCTCCATCTGTACTATGGTCTCTGTGTCTGGCAGAGGAGGTACTTTTATTTATTTAAGTCTATGCAGATGTTTACCACTATCAATGTTAGTACAATTTATACTTAGTCAATAAGATTGCAGATACATGTAAGGATTCAGAATGCATATACTAATTGTAAAAAATATACCATTTTCCTGAGATGGATCCACCTGCTCTCATCCCTCCAAATATAATAATGTGCTTAATATTGAAATTAATGTTCCAATTGACTGATGAAGACAGCTACTTTGCTATACTTACCACCAAAGTGTTCCTGTTCTTAATCTTCTGTAGCTTGTTTTGTAAAATTTGACAAAGTACAATTATTTGACTTTGTTGGAGGATCTGTTCCAATTTCCCAGTTTGTTTCTTGAATGTGGTCTTTAGAGAGGAAGAACAGAAATGTGTTTGATGCCTTTAGACTTTATGGTTGACATTAAGTTGCAGTAATGCTACTTAGCAATGGCAAGCCTGTTGATGAGTTGAAAATACAAAATTGAGTCTCTTGGATTGCTGGTTTATAAATCATTCAATTCTTATGATGTGCTGCAATCCCTTGAGAGTCATATAATCATTTGTGCTGAAAGAGTTGTTTTGGCCCATTGCAGTTTTGCAACTTTTTCAATAGTGCTATTCAATTTGTCTCAACTGTGATGCATTCCCTTGCAAATTTCCCCTTTCCAAGTAAAGTTCATGTCCAGTTCAATTTGGAAAAGGCTAAGTCTGTTTCCACCAGCCTTTCAGGCGACAGACCTTTCAAATTGTAATAAATTGCTGCAATAAAAAAACCTCCTGCATACCCTTTTGGTTCTTTTTACCTTAAATTTGTGCCCCCAGATTTCCCTCCTGTCACCTTCCCACATGCAATGAAATCTTTCATCTCTGCTAACCTAATAAATCTCTTCTAAGCCTTTCTACTTGGTGCTCCCTGCAGTTGTTTCCTCATAACAATGCATTCACTTTTCCTTTACAAGTATTTAGAATTGAAATTGCTCTTGATGTCCTTTTAGGCAGTGCTTTATGAATCACCACTACGTGCTCTGTTTAATAACAGAATCCTCCTCTTCTCCCCTCCACTTTTTGAATTAATTACCCTAAATCTGTGTCTTCTGATTGTTAAGCCTGCTGTGAGCTGAAATGGTTTTTTTCTTATGTACTCGGTCAAAAATCATTCATGATAAAATCTCTTAATCTTTCTGTTCTAAGGAGAATGACTCCACCATCTCCAGTCTTTTCACGTAGTTGAATTCAGGTTGTGGGTATTTTCATGGTTGAATTTATTCAAGGCTGGGATAATTAGAATTTTGGTCTCTAAAGAAGAATGGAGGCAGAAGGTTAGTCATATGGTAAATGGGGGAGTAGGCTCCAGGGGCCCTATGATTTATGTGATTTCTTAGGATTTTATGTTTGTTCTTGCATAAGAACCTGCTGCAAACCTTTGACAGAGTGTGAGCTAGTAACAGATGCGGTACTCTAACTGAGGCCTGGTGAATGATGTACAAGGTTTAGCATCACAGTCCAGACATTTTATGTCGGTCATCATGATTAGATGTGCATGTACACAGCAGTCTTATTAAGGAACATTTATAGAATAGATTTGATGGACAGGTAAAATTATGTGTATTACTTTCTGACCCGGGGAGAACAATGCCAGAAAATCTGTGACTAACCAGCAGGCAGGTTCCAACCTTGAGTGAGGTCACTTTGGCTACCTTTCATTTACAGTCTCAAATTTTGAATCACTTTTTCTCCGAAATTTCCCTTGACCATGAACCATATTTCTTACCATTCTTGGTAAGAATTGTTGCTTATCTATATGCAAAATCTAGAAAGAAACTGGTCACTGATTTTGTAACGACAGCAGCTTATACAGAAAGGTTAGAGAGTAAGTGTTTGGATTCAAGCCCTTTTTGTTATGAGCTGTTAAAGCATGAGTTTTGAGTGGTAGCAGGAATGGGATTCAAACTGGGCCAAACAAGGTTTAATGGAAAATGAATTTATTGAATGTTGTAAATCTTCAGAATCCACAGTTTAAATGTTTCCCTTCTCTGTATTACAAAACTTTTGCTTTTTGCATTTCTCTCTTCAGGCTGGAGTCTTCCAAAAACTAGCGGGAGTTAATAGATGGGCAGACACTCAGGTTGAGAAAGATGAAGCATGGCGACAACGGCCAAATTCTGGCACCAGTGAACGCTCTGAGGCATTGGAACGTGTCAGGAGGAGGCGTGAGGAGGAGGAACGACGGGCCCAGGAAGAGCGATTAGCTGCCTGTGCTGAAAAACTGAAGAAACTTGATCAAAAACGCGGAGTGATAGAGAACTCCGTCAAATTTGATGGCCGGAGAAAGGATGATGGTGAAACTAAGGAGAGCAAGGACTCTATACCTCTATCTGCACACCAGAAACCTTACACTGAGAACAAGCAGAATTTACCAAAAGGTACCAATGGCAATTCTGGATTTGAAAGATTTTCTTGTTTAATTGACAATGTAACCATAATTCTCAATGAAATGGAGCAGTTTTACTGACTGGTTGTTGGAAATATTCTTATTTAGCCTTGTTGGTTCTTAAGGTTGTGTAAAAATATGGTGTGATCATACAGTTCTTTTTTGTTGTACACTTAAACCAAGCTTTTACTTTTGAGCAAGTTTGTGTTTCTAGGTCAACATGGTAACTTAAATAAAAGTGCAACATATATTGCAATTCCAGTTATAGTGAATCAACCATTAATTAATCTGGAGAAAATTGTGTGTGACTTGCATGGAAAAAGATACAAAATTGCAGATTGATCTACATCAACTTTCTTGTCTGGAGCTCATCAGAAACCCAGCGCTGCTGTTATGGGTGATTACCTTATGTGAAACATGTTAATGCTGAAATCAAACCTCAGATATATCGGGCTGGAGTCACAGCTACTTGTTATGTGTATTATATGTTGCAGGCGGAAATGTCCCAAGATACTTGTCAGGGGATCAGTTGCCTGAGCAGGAAACGGTGAAGTTGAGGATGATGACTGATGGTGCAATCGGTGGGTAGATTTTGAAAAGATGGCGATGAAATGAATCGGTTTAAGGATGTGTAGAGGCTGCAGAATGCAGGAATTAAGATATAGATAGAAGTTGTTGTGACACACTGCAGTCCAGAGTCAGAAGCAATATGGAGAAAGTTAAAGGCAGGAAGAAGGGGTTGCAAGGAGTTTGGGGAGTCAGTGAAAAATAAGACTGTATATTTAATATATATAGTATTGGTATATTTTCTTTGGCTGGGAAGAAAAACCTTGGTCTTATGGGGGAGTATCTGTGCCATATTTGAGGCATGTTTTCTCCATTTCTACCTTTCATGATTTGAGCATACTTGTGTCTGGAGTGTGAAATCTGCTAAACAACTGTTGATTTTCTATTGTAATGAATTTCAGAAAAATGTGAGCTGCCTGTGGAGCTTCCTGTTGATGACAAGGTGAAAAAAGAAGTTACTGCAGGCATTGCAGAAAGCGAAGAGGAAAACAGCAAGCAGGGAAATGAGCCAGCACTGCCCGTGCAAAACTACAGCAAGTTCCACAAGTCTCTGCCACCCAGATTCCAACGACAACAGCAGGTAACTGCCAGTAGAGTACAGATGTGTTCAGTACTTTATCATTATAACATGCTAGAAATGGGAACACGAGTATGTCGCTTAACACCTTGAATCTATTCAACTGTTCAGTCAGGTCAGGTTAATCTGTGACTGAACTCTATCTTTGCCCTTAACACATGGGTAGATTCAACCAAACAATTGGATTTAAAATTATACAGATGGCCTAAAGTCAACTCCTATTTGTGGAAGAGGTCCAGATTTCTATTGCCCATTGTGTATAGAAGTTCTTAACTTCATTCCTGACAGATTTGGCTGTTGGAGTCTAACCTTTATGTTACATCCCTGACCTTAGACTCACCGACCAGCAAAAATTGTTTCTCTCTCGCTCTAATTTAGCAGTTCCAAGTAATACCTTGAACGTTTCAATCTAATCATCCCATAAACTTTTAACTTGCAGAAAACATAACTGATTTATTTAATCTCTCCTTGCAATTTAACCCTTGGAGACCTAGTCTTAAAAGCGTTTCAATGTTTCGCTCCCTCCAAGGCTAATATAAGACCTGTAAGCTGAAGTGTTGAGATCTGAGTGCACTTCCCTAGGTGTGGCTTTACTGGCGGTCTGTATAGCTTAGCGTAATTTCTACCTGCTTATTAGGAGTAGTCTTTTTCTGCATATAACAAATTTGTAAAAAAAAAAGTATAAGGTGATATGTTTTGGAATAATCTAACGTTAAGAGGGCTGCTTATTTGAAGTATGCATTCATCATATAGTTTAGAAGCCAAATGGTCAACCCCCATGCATCTCTCTTTGTCAAATTGCTGAATTATGACTTATGGCCTTGATGAAGCTGTGAAAACAAATCTTATTTGAATGTGCTTGTGCCCTAGAGGAGTTTTCTGATCAGACATGTTGGATTCGGATTTGATTTGCTGAACGATGTGGTTCGTACAAAATTGTTCAATGGGAATGAATGTTTTAAGTAGTAGGTCTTCAACATCTTGTTTTAAAGATGTCATTTATGCGATTTAGAGACCCAAAAGTAGTTTCTGCCCCTATAGTACAGATCAAGCAGAGAGGGAGGCACTGCTCGCTAATCTCAAAGTTAGCGGTGAAGTCGAGTTGAGAAAAAGAATAATCTGGTAAGAGACAGTAGTCAGTCTTGTTAGGCTTCTGTCACTCTTATAAAAAGGTGCACTTTTGAGAAGATGATTGGGTTAAGCAGCAAAACAAGGCCACGTCCTTCAGAAACAGGAATTGAGAAGACTTGGTAGTTGCATTAGAAAAATTTTCTACTCTCCTCTGCTGGGGTGGGATGGGAGGTTAATTTTATGCTTTATCCAAGAGAATTTGCAAGATTTTGTGGAGAAGAAAGACTATCATGTAAAATAGAAGAACCACGATTTTAAAAGTCTAAATCTGTACTGTTTGTATTGTTTCCTGCTTCGGCCAACCAGGAGCAGCTGTTAAAGATGCAGCAACGGCAACAACAGCAAGGTCCAGTCATGACCCCGTCAGTTGCACCTCCTCATTCTCATTCACAGAGACACATCTATCCCAGCCCAGTCGGCCCACCACCTCCTCACATGCTTGGCTATGATCCTCGTTGGATGATGATGCCTTCATACATGGATCCTCGACTGAGCCCAGGAAGGCCACCAATTGACTTCTACCCATCAGGCGTTCATCCCTCTGGTAAGTTGACTCGGGAGTAAATAATAGTAACAGCATACAGTGGGTGTTTTCTCCTACCAGAGGAATCTGATCTGTGCATCGTCAGCATGAATGAATTTAATTACTTCCAGCCCATCAGAACTTGGAGTAGAAGCGTTCTTTCATTCATTCCTGGTCATATTTTTGTGGTCTTTGCTCATGTAATATGGTGAACACTGTATAACCTGGAAACTGAATTTTCCAATGTTCTTCATTATTGATTGGGGTGCACCAAATGCTGTCACTTTGATCAGCAGGGACTATATCTAAAGTGTAGAGTTATATATGGATTGTGTTCTCACTTTGCTGGATAACCAACTGCAGTTGTAGTAGCTGGCAACTTGCTTTCCAGTTTCCAGACCCACGATACACAAGCACATTGTCACTATTTGTCTGCTTTCTCTTACCTTCGCTCAATCATAACAGATGTTTGTTATCTGTCACCTACCAACTGAAACAAAGAGGTAGAAAATTCAGATTTGATTTCATGGGAATTTATGAAACCTTAAAAATTGGAAGATTAATGTCATAATGAACAAAATGAAATATAATTCGTGGCTCCATGCACTGTGCATCAGTAGTTAGCTAGCTTGTTTAGGGAAAGATGTGGCTTAGTGGTATTGTCAGTGAAATTTAATTGAGACCCAGGCTAATATTCTGGGGGGCATGGGTTCAAAAACCATGGCAAAATGTGCTAATAATTTTCTGTCAAAGTTTTATTGTTTATGCTCACCTAAGGATGATTTATTTCTTGTAGGGATCATTAAGCCTGTAATGCGCCCAGATCGCTCAGACAGTGTGACTTCGGGGTCCGAGCAGCACGATCGGTCTCCCATTCTGTTACAGGAGAGAAGAACCCCACCTACAGAACCGCAATTCAGCTGGGGTCAAGAGGACTATCCACCACCTCCAAACAGAACTTTTATGTTAGCCTCTCAGAGATCGCAAGAGGATAATGGTTCTGAAGATAGAAATGTCAGGTGAGTTTCTTGCCTGTAGAGGATCAGTAGCAATGCCAGGTTAGGATTGATAACAGGCCACTACAGGTCTTTATGATAAGAACCACAGAAGAAGCAACATTTGTGAGATTTTGTATGTATGTGGCCACTGATGACTGGGGACAGTAATCTACCAGAAGAAGGCTAAATAAATATGATACATACTCTGTTTATTTGATCCTTAGCCTTAAGAAAAAGCTTTAAAATAGGATGAGATTAGATCAGTCTATTTCTGAGCAGAAAATGTGGGAATACTGCAAGGAATAGATGGAGATGAGCCAAGGGCAGGAAGAAGGGATCGGTTTAATTTGGTGTCATGTTCGGCACAACATCATGGGCTGAAGGGCCCGTTGCTATGTTGTACTGTTCTATGTTCTATGTACTGTGTCTTTTTTTGAGGTACTTACATCTGTCCAGTTGATTTGAACAATTTACAGAAATAATTATGATCAGTGACCCCCTCCCCCCAGTTCTACAGTGCATGGTCTGCTCGTTTGAATGCCAGGCACCTTTAAATGATCACGTTGTGACTTCAAAGGGCAGCTTATGAATGGTCTACATAGAACCTTCCAGGTTGCTGTGTAGCTAAGGGCACAGCTTATGGAAATCTGCTGTGGCTTTCCTCAATGTTTTACGATGCATTCAACAACTTTTCTTTATTATAGGAATGAAAAGCTTCCCACTCCACCTGCTGGGAGGGCAGATTCCATTTCCCAGCAAGCCATGAAGATACAGCGGGATCCATTTGAGGAGCAGATAGATGATTACAGGGTTGCACCAACAGACAAACTGTTGAATATGGTTTGTTTGGAGCCCCAGACTGAACTAATAAAAGACCGAAGGCCTGATGTATCTCCAAATGTGTCGGCAGTGTTAGGCCGGGATGTTCTTTTCCAGCATAAAACAAGTTCTCAGATACTTCATAAAGAACTTTTCACATCTGAAAATGAGCAGGTAGGGCTGAATGGGTCCCTGTTGAGGGACAGTACTGAGACCTCAAAACCAGCTGAAAATGTTGAGGAGCTGGTGTCTCACACCTGGGATTATGTACACCAGAAAGAGCCACCAAGCCCAAAGATTAATGAGCACGAAGACACCAGAGAGGAGAAAGGTTTTCGAGCAGAAATATGGCAAACTGATAATCTACCAAAGAGGGAATCTAAACCTGCACCCCAGTGGGAACCACTGAAAGGAAATCACATTGATCGTCGTGAGACTGTCGGAAAAATGACAGGCAGAAGATCTGGACCGATTAAGAAACCAGTACTTAAAGACCTCAAGACTGAGAAGGCTGAAGAGACAGAAAAAGTAAAGTTGGAGTCTGTTCTGAAAAACAGTCACACTAAGACAGAACAGACCAAGACTGAGAATAAAGCGCTGAAAACCAATGGAGGAACAGTGCCATCATCGCAAACATCTTCCTCGTCGAATGTTAGACCTGAAATGACTGCGCTCTCAGTGCCTTCAGCTAAGTTTGACTGGGAAATGGAGAAACCACAAAAAAAGGAGAATAAGGCATGGGAGGTGAGACCAGTGAATAAAGATAGCATTGATTTTCCTCTACCGCAGAGAAGAAACTGGATTGAAGACGATGAACATAATTTGAGTAGTCGGAGCCAAGGACGAGGAAGGGGCAGAGGAAGAGATTTTTATGGCCGGGTTGGAGACGCCAGAGGTTCATACAACAATTTGAACAGAGGAAATCGTCAGACTCCAAAGGACTACAGTAATCCTTCAGAAGACGGCCAAAAGAGCTCCTCCCGCCGTCGAAATGCTAGCGAGACGCGCAGTGAGGGGTCTGAATATGAAGATATACCAAAACGACGGAGACAGAGGGGAGCTGGAGCTGGCAGTGAAGGCACCAGTGATGCAGTATATTCAGACAGAGAGGGGAAAAATATGTTTAAAGACTCTGTCAAGAAATCCAAGAGAATACCATCTGATGGGCCAATTGTTGGTGAAGTGGAGGATGAAAGAGGGCCCCCCAAAGTGTTTGAAAGAGCACTGCCACCTCGCTTGAGCAACCCTGGGCGAGGACGTAACTTTGCCTCTCGGGGAATGTCCTCCAGACAAAATAGAGGGGGTGTGTGCAAAGTAAATGGTACTTATCAGCTAAATGGTGATATTTCCACATGCATGCTGTTGTCCAAAAGGCAGCCTCTTAAGGAATCTACAAAAGTGCTGAACAGGCCTTTGGAAGTGACACTTGAGAATACTGGGGAGGAAAATGGAGTCGGAGATAAAATCCTGCTTTCTGGAATCTCGGCCATAGATGATCAACCGCCCAAAAGGGAGCGATCAATGGATATGCCCCCAAGGAGAAGGCGACCTCCTAGGCAGGACAAGCCTCCAAGATTCAGGCGTCTCAAACAAGAAAAAGACGCAGCCACTGAAGTCAAAAATGATGTACCTGTTCCTGCAGACCATGGCATATCTAATATGACTGCAAGGACCGATGATCAGGAAATGGCTTCTCTTATAGCTGGCAATAAGTCGCCAGATCTGTCTAATCAAAATTCTTCTGACCAAGCTAATGAGGAGTGGGAAACTGCTTCTGAAAGCAGTGACTTTACAGAGAAGCGAGACAGGGAGAATAGAATATGCCAGAACAACCTCCCACCTGAAGTGGATGTGGCAGACGGTAGTCTTGGACAGAGGAAAGAGTTAGCTAAACGCAGTTTCTCTAGCCAGCGGCCAATTGATCGGCAAAACCGCAGGACGAATCCAGGCTATGGTGGAAAAACTCCAAAAACTAATGGGACTGGTCCAAGAAATGAAAAGGCAGCTGGGCAACCATCAAGGAACAAAAGGTATATAATGTGGATATTTGATAGGCAGAGACTAAATGTTTAGTGTCTGTCAATTCTCTGTTCAAGATTTTGCTTGCTTTGTGACACCCAGCCCAAATATTTGGTTATTAACTAATAAAGAAGTTGGTTACCTCAGTTAGCCAGATAGCTGGTTTGCAGTGCTGAGTGATGCTGATAGCATGGGTTCAGTTCACGTACTGACTAAAGGATTCTCCTCAACCTCTCCCGTCACTCAAGGCTTGGTGACCCTCGGGTTTAATCACTACCAGTCGTCTCTCTCTAATGAGAGAATAGCCTTATGGTCTGGCAAGACTGTGGTGACTTTACCATTTTACCTTTTATTACGTATAACAGGGACTATTTCAGTCTTATCCTCCTTTAGTGTCCCCTATCATAAGCTTGAAAGTGGAGTCTAAAGTTACAGAACAATAATACAATTTCGGACCTGTAACATAGATGTAACAACATTATAATCGCTTTTTTTGATTCAGTCCAAATGGCTAATGTTCTTAAGAAAGTAACAGTAATTGTGTTATTACAGATTCCGCCCCCCCCCTTTCCCATAAAACATAAGTTACTTCCTTTTGGTTCTTCATTGCATTCTCCCTCACCCCATCGAGTAGGAGGCTGTGAAATGTTGCTTTGGTCACATGTTGCATTCCATTGACTAACACAGCTGTGGGTCTGAGACTGAGCAGTCCTACTGCTGGCTTTTTTTTTTGCTTTATTCTTTCTCTACAGCCAGAAAAAAAGGGTATAATTCTGTTACAGTGTGCTGCCACTGAGCAGTCAATCCATGAGGAAGTGCTATAATTAATGTTTGAGAGAGACTGGCAATATTGATGATTGCAGAATGGGATGTTTCCGTGTTGAATTGTTGAAGCCAGTGTGACTCCATCTGATTATTCCATTTCTCAAGCAGGTATGTAGAAGAACAGCATTGTGATCAAGTAACGGTGAATGGAGGGAATGTTAACACGGTGTACTGTGTAGATCGAGTCATTCCCCATGATCCAGTGGCTGTCCAAAATGCAATGAAGGACGCATCAAATAAAAAGAAGGAAAAGGATGTGAAACCTGGCATGAAAAAGGCAAAAGAAAAAACTGATGCTTTGGCACAATTTGATTTAAATAATTACGCAAGTAAGTCCAGATCAATTTATATTCAGATAAGATTGACATTCAACTAAAGACACACTTGCATTGTGCTTTTGAGTTTCAGTGCAGTTTTAAGGGTGCCCTTGAGATTGAATCTTATTTTGTTCAATTGTGCTAATGATCCACCCTGAGCGTTGATCTGCTCTTAAGTTTTACGTAAACTTTATTTCAGTTTCCAGGGAGATCCCAAGTATGTACTTTAGCATGTGTGAATAAACAGAATAACTTCCATTTAAATAGTGCCTTTAATGACTTCAGAAATTTCTAAAGTGCTTCACAGGCAATAAATTGCTTTTGAAGTGTGGTCACTGTTGTAATATAAGAAATGCAGTAGCCAGTTTGTACAAAACAAGCTCCCACTGAAGAAGGATCCTGACCCGAAACATTGACTTTCCTACTCCTCTGATACTGCCTGACCTGCTGTATTCCTCCAGCTCCATGCTGTGTGAACTCTGACTCCAGCATCTATTTGTTATCTCCCACAAAAAACATCGTGACCAGCTCACCTGTTTTAAACGCTGTTGATTACAAAATAAATTTTGGCTAGGACACCCTGCTCCTGTTCAAAATAGTACTGTCTCCTGAAAGACAGTGCAATAAAAATCTCACTGTGCAACCAGGGTCTTGAAATTATTTAAGTAAATAGCTCTGAAACATGAAGCTGCTTTCAATAATAGTGACCACAGTTGTTGTAAAGGCATTTGGCTCAATAATCAAAATGCCGATTAGAGAAGGAAATCTGCTGCCCCAACCCAGTCTGGGATTATAAGTGATTTCAGATCCACAGCGATGCACTTGGCTCTTCAATGTGCTCTGAAATGGCCTTGCAAGCCACTCAGTTGAATTCTAGAAGGTGCCTTACCATCATGTTCCCAAACAGTAGGGAATAAGCAATAAATGCTGGCTGTACCAGAAATGCCTACCTCCTATGAATGAGTTAACATACAAAGTACTGCAGTGGATTACCTGTTCGGGTCTCTTGAGTTAGACTCAAACCTACAACGTTCTGACTCAGAACGAAGACTGCCACCTGCCTAGATATGACTAAGACTTTGTAATGTTGCCATTCACAGAACAGCTGAGCAAAAGAAGTTATTACTAATGAGGAAGGTGCAGTGATTATTTATTTAATCTCTTTTACCTAAGCAATAACTTGAATGCTGATAGAAGTACCTGATGATTTTTCTTCCTTTAAGGTGTTGTCATTATTGATGATCACCCAGCTGTAGCTGTGGAGGAGCAGCAGTCCGTGTCAGCTCTGAATGATGGGTTCACTGAAGTAATCTCAAAAAAACACCGCCGTTTGCTTGAGGAAGAGCGCAGGAAGAAAGAACAGACATCACAGGTATGTGGGTTATCTTCAGCATCATGTTGCAATATTGTAAAAGATGCAGTTTATTTGCGTTTTGTGCCATTGCAGGTTGGTGTAATGGTTGGATTTCCATTTTATATTTCATTGAAATGTCACACAACAACACTGTTATAGTAAGAATTTTAAACCTTTCCTCTTTTATTCAGTGAGCTTAGATACAGGTCCTGAATTCATGTGTACTTGCCATCTGAAAAGTGAAACTTTAATTTAAATAACTTTAAGCAAATTGGATTTTCTGTTACATTCAATGTAAAACTGTAGATAAGTTTTACAGGACCTTTTTCATCAGAAAAAAGTAAAAAGACCTAGCTTCATTATGTTGGTATAAATGATGCTCCAATAGATCCTTCTGACCCTTTCATTACTTGTACTCAAGGAAAGGGATATGAGGACAAAGATGCACTGATATACCAACTAAAGAGATCAATTGACTTTATAATCCACGTGCTCCCAGTTACAGACATCGTATAACCTGCAATGGCTCCCAGTCCCATCAGTACATCCAATTTAAGTTTACTATTTTCCTATTTAAATTCTTTCATGGTCTCCTCCCTCCCAATTAATTAATTCATTTTAGATGTTTCTATTACATATTAAATGTAAATTATTGAATTATTATGTTCTAAAGGGAATAACTGTTAAATCGATTTAAAAACAAAGTAACATGCTAAGTCAGTTTGCTCTATCTAGATCACTGCCACTTTGACGAGGACAATTAGAGATGGACAATAAATACTAACCTAATCGGCACAACCATTTTCAAAAACTTGCGTGCTCTTCACTGCCCTCTCCTGCTGGCTTCTTCCCTCTCCAAATCATCCTTTCCTGTAAAGGAGGACTCAGGAGAGGGTGGTGAGAGAAAGGAATGGTATGAGAAGAGCTGCAAATGGGTGGGTTTGGTTGGGGAGTTAGCGGGGGGTGTCACTGGGAGAACACGAGTGAGAGAAGTATACAGCAAGTGAGGCAGCTCCAAATACTCATGCAGTGCTACACCTAACCCTGCACAAAATGAGCTGGAGCAGAAGCTCTGACACTAAGTGCATACTAACCACATGATGTACGCTATGCTAAAGTGGAACAGTGTGGTATCAGGAATCTAAAACAGGAACTTAAGTGTGCAGTCGCAGCAAGTTCAATTGATATGACAGTGTTAATGTATACCAGTGTATACATTTCACAGGATCATTTTCAGATGAACGTTAACACCAAACCATATAGCAAGATACTAGGCGAGAGGCTGAAATGCTTTGGTCAAAAAAAGTTGGTTTTAAAGAAGATGTTAACAGATGGGAGAGAAGCAGAGAAGTTTAGAGAGGGAGTTCCAGAGCTTGGGGGTGCCTAAGCATAAGGCAGCAGCCAGTGGTGGAAAGAAGGAAATCGCAGATGCACAAGAGGCCAGAATTGAAGGAGTGCAAAGATCTCAGAAGGTTGTACAAATGTCAATTTTTACAGAATTGAGATGGAAGAACCTGTGAAGGGATTTAACCAGGAAGATAGTAAGTTTAATTTAGATAATTTGGTGGATTCAAAGCCAATGTAAGTTATCAAGCATAACAGGGATGGGAGAGTGAGCCAAGGAGAGTTTGAATAAGGTCAGCAGAGTTGATTCTAGATGCTCTTTCTAAACAAATCTTTTGCAGAAGCAGAAAAACGCATGATGGATGCATTAATGGGGAACGCTTTCCATGAAGTAATAATGTTCATATTTGTATAAGATAATAGAAATGTGAGTTTACTTAATGCTTCATACATGATGAAAGTTTCTCACTATTCTATTCTTTGCAGGCACCTGGTAAAAACCGGAATGAAAAGAGCTGGACATCTTCATCCAAAATGCCTCCTAGATTTGTCAAAAAGCAGCACCTCTCCAATCCAGTTACTGAACAGCCAGAGGATAGCTCCTTCTCCAAGGGGCAGGCCAGTAGCCTAGGAACAGAGATTTGGGAGAACTCCAGTGCAAGTAAGATGATTACTAAATTACTATCTGTGCAAAGACTGGTTGACAGCATACCACCTAATAATTTGCAGGTTATTTCAGATTGGTGGTGGAGATCTGAATGGAAAATGCTGGAAGCACACAACTGTCAGGCAGCCTCTGCGGAGAGAGAAACAGAGCTTTGTGTTGATGACTTCCAAACTTACAATTTTGATAAAAGGCTGTAGACCTGGAATGTTCCCTCTTTTTTTTCTGCTTTTGATGCTGTCAGATCTGTTGAGTGTTTCCAGCTTGTTACAGGGCTTAACCATTTGAGAAACCTTAGAATGGGATCTGAAGAAATCTGGTTTTACACTGTATATTATGGATAGATACAAGACTTAGCTTCATTATGTTGGTATAAATGATGCTCCAATAGATCCTTCTGACCCTTCCATCACTTGTACTCAAGGAAAGGGATATGAGGACACAGATGCACTGATATACCAACTAAAGAGATCAGTTGACTTTATAATCCATGTGCTCAATATACAATTGAGTAACAAACATCAATTGTACTATATTTATGACCATAGGAGGTCATCCATCTGTGAGACTGTTGAGCAATTTTTTTTGTGAACCACACAAGGTATGATTATACATTTCTCCATTAATTCACAGATTATTTGTGGTGCAAGAATAAACAAGTGCTTTAAGCCAGTTAATGAAAATGTAATGGCAACTGACAGTTCAGGTCTTGATCTTCATGATGTTCAACTTGTTTGCAGTTTCAAAAACATTTAACTTATTCATATTTAAATTGCTTTCAATTAATAAATATGGGATTGTAAAAGCATTATAAAAAAAAGCAAGGATTGTCATAAAACCCATCTGGTTCACTGGTGCCCTTTACGGAAGGAAAATCTGTCGTCTTCATCCGGTCTGGCTGCCTTGTGACTTCAGAACCGCAATAATGTGGTCGACTGTGAACTGTCCCCTGAAATGGCCCATCTAGCCACTCAGTTTGCAAGCAGTAATGGATGGCCAGCAAATGGTAGCCTTGCTGTTACTGCACCCATCCCATAAAAGAATCAACAAGAAAAATTAGAAAAATGCTCATTTGTTTCTTTTCACAGCTGTTCCTGTTCAGCCTGCCAGTGGTGACACATGGGTGAAACCTCTGAACTCATTTACGGGATCCGAATCTACGTGCACTGAGGTACTTTCATAAGTTGCCAAATTCTCCTATCAGACTATCGAATTACCATTTCAAATAGCTGAGAACACTGCACTTTACCAAGATATGTTTATGATTACCCAGGAGGTTTCTGCAAAGTTTTAGTTTGCATTTAATACCAGGTGATACAGTAAAATGTTAGTCAGAGGTTGAATGTTCAAATCTTACAATGGCAAATAGAATTCACTAGATCTGGTCATTTTAAATGTATAGAAAATAGTAGAAGGTGCCAACCATTCTGCCCTTGGAGTCGCCTTTATTATTTAAAAAGATTCATAGCTAATCTACCTAGATCCCACTTTTTCCACCTTTTTCCAGTATCACATGATTTTTTGTGTGTTCAAAACCTGTTGACATCCATCTTGAATAGACGTAGCAACTGAGCAAGACTTATGACTCTCTGAGTAAAGAGATTTCCTCTCGTCTCTTTCTAAATGCCAACCTATGAGTGTTGACACCAGAAGAATCACTGTAGAAGTTGCCAGGTGGCTGCAAATATTCAGTAAGCCTCTTCATTGTCATGAGGGAACAAAACCATTCACCTGTACCCAGTTTGACTTGCACAAAAATCCAGCATTGTAAATATCCTCGGGAGAAATAAGTAAATAAATGTAGTACTGCGGGAACAAAGTGGGTCTATGTAGAGCAGTGGAGTTTGTTTGTAAATATCTCTCAGCAAGGATTGTTTTTCAGGCACCTGTCAGATGTTGTGCATCCAACCTCTATGTCGCACCACCAGGTGATATAGTACAATGTTGCTGGTGCTTCTATGCAGTCAATGACTCAAGCTTTCCCCTGTTCACCTTTTCAAAAAGACAGCTTAGCTAATATAATAAAATATGCTAATATAGTGAACCATTTGAATATAACTAATTATCTAAGTATATGAGATGCATGATTGCTGTTTGGTGCATGCCCAGGCATCCCAACCATTCGACTACTCCATATTGCAGAGTTTCAAGGCAAGTCAACCTGACAGCGGAGTTGAACTGAGTGCTGATTCCCAAGGTTCATCTGCAACTTCATCTCAACGAAGCTCACCTTACGGTGCACTCAAGCCGGAGGGAGGAGTAATGACTGAAATGAATGGAACCGGCACCGATACATCAGTTGATAAGTCAAACGGGAAAACTGATGATCCCAAGGAACAACGGCAAAAACCAGCGAGACCAGAGAGCAAGGTAAGACAATATGTCAAAATTATTGCTTAATGCTAGACTAATTCTTGTCTGGTTTCTGCTAGCCATGCACTCTGGCCTTTGGATAGAGCACAGCGATGATCTGAAAGCAAGTGAAAATGGGTTCCCTGTTGCTGACAAGCTAAATACATTTTGGTAGCCCCTAGCATTGCATCGCAGAACGATCAAATGTGTGTACAGTGACACAGAGAAAAAGACATTTGCACCATTACAGGAATACAGAAAGGGAACCAAAAGCAAGCTGAGGCTATTGATGGAAGAGGGAAGCCCACTGATAGTTCCTGTGAAATTTGACAGTCAGGGGCTGGGGAATTGAGGCAAGTTAGGAAATCATAATATGGGAGCCCCAGAGCGGCAGAGGATTGGATAACCATTCTTCAAAATGCTTTTCCATTTGTTTTTCGGTGAAATTATTAGTGGGGGTGTTCAGAGAGGCTAGTGCTGTTGCTCAGGATAGGTTCATACAAAAATACAGTTGACAGGTTAATAGCATTTTTCAATGGATTATTTGCTGCTGTGTTCAATTCGGTGATGCTCGTATGGCCATGAGGTAAAATTGCTTTGCTACATCCTGAAACAAGTGACAAAGTGGTGTATATACAAATGTATATCCTTTCTAACCAATTTTTAAATTGTTACATCTTAATTCCAGTTTGCCTTTGGGTGAAAGGCAGATTTGATTGTTCTGAAGTTGACATTTTATGTAGTTAATCTCAACCCTATTGTATTATTTTGCTCAGATTTCAGAGCCAGCAACTGGACAGAATAAGGACCACAAGCCAGGACCAATAGGAAATGAACGGTCTCTGAAAAACAAGAAGGCAAAGGAGTGTCTGGAGCCAGAGGGAGCGGAGCGCAGTGATGGGGGCATCACATCAAACAATGCAGCTGACAGCAGACCAAACACCAAGTCAGGGCTGGATTTACATGTGGACGCTGTCATCCCAGTTCCTCCAATCGAGTTTGGAGTGAGCCCAAAGGTAATTTTCATTGGATAACCAAAATTGTAACTTGTAGAAATAATACTGGTATGTGTAGTATTTGCTTTAAATGACCAGACCAGCAAAGTCACAGAATAATGTTGTCATTATAGTTAACTGACTTGTGTTAAAATCTCACCCCTATTTAGCACTAGATGTTAATGGCAAAGTTCGAGACGAAGAGGGGAAACCCACTATCACTTAAAATAGCAGATAGAGCACAGAAGCAGGGCATTTAGCCCAACCAGTCTGTTCTTGCGTTTATATACAGTCAGCCTCCTCCCATTCCAGCTATCTTGTAACAGTCTTTCAACATATCTTTCTGTTCCTTTTTCTCACAATTACTTGTCTAGTTTCCATTTCAATGTATCTAGGCGGTTTGTCTCAGTAACTTCCTGTGGTTCCACAGTGTAACTAATCTGAGCAAAGAAATTTCCCTATCAAATTTATATGTAACTAACTTATATCAATGCCTGAGATACCAAGGTGTAGAGCTGGATGAACACAGCAGGCCGAGCAGCATCAGAGGAGCAGGAAGGCTGACGTTTCGGGCCTAGACCCTTCTTCAGAAG